TCAGCAGAGGTTGATCTTTGCTGGAAAGCAACTTGAGGATGGTCGTACCCTTGCTGACTACAATATTCAGAAGGAATCCACTCTCCATCTGGTGCTGAGGCTGAGGGGTGGTATGCAAATCTTTGTGAAAACCTTGACTGGGAAAACTATTACTCTTGAAGTCGAGAGCTCGGACACCATCGACAATGTAAAGGCAAAGATTCAAGATAAGGAAGGGATTCCACCTGACCAGCAGAGGCTTATTTTTGCTGGGAAGCAGCTTGAAGATGGAAGGACACTAGCTGATTACAATATCCAGAAGGAATCCACCCTCCATCTGGTGCTGAGGCTGAGGGGTGGTATGCAAATCTTTGTGAAGACATTAACAGGGAAAACCATTACCCTTGAGGTTGAGAGCTCGGACACCATCGACAATGTCAAGGCTAAAATTCAAGATAAGGAAGGGATCCCACCTGACCAGCAGAGGTTGATTTTTGCTGGTAAACAGCTTGAGGATGGAAGGACTTTAGCTGATTATAACATCCAGAAGGAATCAACCCTCCATTTGGTGCTGCGCCTGAGGGGTGGTATGCAGATCTTTGTGAAGACATTGACAGGGAAAACTATCACCCTTGAGGTTGAGAGTTCCGACACCATCGACAATGTCAAGGCTAAAATTCAAGATAAGGAAGGGATCCCACCTGACCAGCAGAGGTTGATTTTTGCTGGGAAGCAACTTGAGGATGGGAGGACTCTTGCTGATTATAACATCCAGAAAGAGTCCACACTCCATTTGGTGCTCCGATTGAGAGGAGGGATGCAGATTTTTGTCAAGACTTTGACTGGGAAGACGATCACCCTGGAGGTTGATAGCTCGGATACCATTGACAATGTGAAGGCAAAGATTCAGGACAAGGAGGGTATTCCACCAGACCAGCAGAGGCTGATTTTTGCTGGTAAGCAGCTGGAGGATGGTCGTACCCTTGCTGATTATAACATTCAGAAAGAATCAACTCTTCACCTGGTTCTTCGTCTCCGTGGTGGCTTTTGAGAATTTAGTGTTGTGGCTCTTGGAACTATTGAAAAATGTTTTTAAACTTGTGTGATTTGCGTTGATGTTCGCTTGTTTTTATCCTGTTTGAACAGTCGTTTCTTTAATAAATTTAGCTTGGCTTGAATCAATCTTTGATTATGGTCTTGCAACGTTATGCCATAATGGTATCTCTAGGTCCTTCATTCAGAATTGTGTTAAGTCAGATAATAACCAAGTGCCTTTGGGTCTATTAACTAATCCTACTCTACTCGTTTGCCATTTTATAGCTCCAAATCCTATATATGCTAAAGCACGTAAAATTAGTAAGTTTGTGTTAGCTTTTCTACTAGCTATTGACGAAGTTATTGTTCAATTTGTAACCTGCCTAGATATCGTCGAAGTATCTTTCTCCCTCCTGACCAAAACAAAAACTCTTTTTTATTAGCTATTGACGAAGTTATTGTTCAATTTGTAACCTACTCCGAGTCAATTGTTTTGTTTTTAGTTTTATGCCTCTTTTTTTACACATGAGAGATTTATTTTTACACGTAACAGTGATTTACACATAAAAGATCTAAAAAAGTCATTTTCTTAAATTCAAAATTGTAAAGAGTACAAATAGCACTACAATCAACTGGTACAAAAGGCACGATTGTTAGGACCAATCTACTCAATCTTCAAAGAACATTGTTTTTGGCATGTATACGTATTCTAGGGATATCTAATTAAGAGTTGGAAGTTAAGGGGCACAAAGAAGATGAAGAGCCTGGCGGTGTATGTGGAGGCTTTAAACGAATGACTGTCGATCCAGATAATTTGAAGGAAAACATGGATATCTCAAGACCTGAAAAAGAAAAAGTAGATAGCTTGATGAGATTGCAATATGTTTCTCCTCTCCGTTACATTTTATCTGATTTCATTTGAGTGGATACGAAATTTAAGAAAAAATAAAGTATTAGTATTATGCTTGTGATATTAAACATGCCATAGCATTTGTGCGGCGGCTATAAAAATATGTCATTAAGATTAATATGAGAATTTTAAGTTAAAAGTATTTTCAATATTTACTAAGGGATCATTTTTGTGAAACAAAATTTAAGAAAATAAGGTTATATTATATAAACTGAAACAGATGGAGTACTAAGTCGCGAATTAGAAAGTGTCTTATGATCTATAGAAGTAGAGTTAGGAAGGACCGTAGAAAAAAGAAATTCAAAGAAGATGGGACGAATTACAATTAAACAATTCGATGTTTCTTCCTCCCTTCAAAATCGAGCATCATATACGTACTTCATTGGACGTAGTTTTTGGCAGTTAAAATCGTTTCAGGTAAGTCATGAATGTATTCTATTTTCAAGGTGAGCCATTTGAAAGGAAAAATCTCACAATTGAATAATTCAAGAACCAGATTGAAGCATTGTCCTTTTCTTAAGGACTAGTCTACCACTAATTCTCCTTTCCGCACCAACTATATAATGCCCAACCAAAATGATCTCAATTCATCAAAAGATCAAAAGTTATCAAAGAATATATATATAATCTTCCTAAAAATACAACTCATTTTCCGATCTCTCTTTCTTCCACAAGCTAAGCTAGGAGGAAAGAGGGCAAATAAATCTAAATTTTAGGTTACTATTTGATTTATATCCGCTCTAGTTTTGGCTTTGACAAACAATTTCAATTAAAGATGGCAAAGGAAACTAGAAATATACGTTCTTGGGTAGAGGTTGTTCCAGCCCTCATAACATATCGACGAAAACCTTCACATACATCTGGATTAGAGACCATCAGAGAAGAGATCAACGAGGGGTTTGACGATGACACATAATGTATCTTCTATGTAAAATTCATCACCTTGGAGCAACGGTAAAGTTGTATCCGTGTGACCTATAAGTCACGAGTTCGAACCATGCGAGCAGCGACTAATGCTTGCATCAGGTAGGATGTTTACGTCACACCCGCTGGGTACGGTCCTTCCCCGAGCCCTACATGAATGCAGGATTTTTTTGGTGCACCGGTCCGCTCTTTTTTTATTGTCAAGTGTAGTGAAGCTAATCTCTTTTTACAAAATGTGTATACATTCTGAAAGTAGCTCTTAATTAGCTTTGGTCGATGTAAGATTGAAGTTTTTGGCCCCAGCTGAAGAATCGGAGAATATTTTAGCTAGAGGGATTAATGCATATTTTGCTTTTTATTAGCTTTTCGTTGTTTCATATGTGCAGTGAACTAACAATGCTTTAGATTATTAATAGAGTTTAATGGTATTATTTAGAACTTAGAATCATTGCTATCAAATAATCTGATGAGGATAACAACTTGAAGTTTTTGCCCCTTAATTTTAAAAACCATACAACTGGTGAGTTTGGTTTAGCTGAAAATGTTTTTCTTATAAAACATGTTCTAGTTTAATTACTTGAATAGTTGAATTATTTTTCCAAGGGAATTGCTTTATTTCTGTAAAAGGAAGGAATAATTTCCTTCATCTGTGAAAGTTAATTACTTTACACATTTAAACTTAAATGCCATTGCTATTGTTGACTAGTAGGCAAGTTACACATTTGACCTTGTATACGGTCGAAATAGATTTCAGCCTTGGCATGTCCGATCGAGTTCGAAGGGTGATGTATCGAAATAAGATCCCGAACGGGGGACGAACTAACCTCGAACCCGGGGAGGCCGGTCCGTATCGAGATCGATATCATAATCAAACTCGAATAAGAATCGAACCATGATGCAGGGTAGACCTATCGTGTTGATAATCCAGAGACCAATCAACATTGACCTGGAATCAATTCGAGGGCTCGAACCAGGATCGGGCTCGAACCAAGATCACAAGTTCAAGCCGAAATCAAGCTCAAACCAAAATCGAGGATTCTAAGCAAGATCGAGCTCGCAGACAAAAGCCGTTGCAATCCCACTAGAGAGAATCTTGGCAGAAATTATGGAAAAGCTGACTTATCATGGGTCTCCCACTGAATGCTTATTTTATTATGCTTGGAGCCGAATCCCTCCACTATAAAAGGGCTTGGTTATCATTTCTGTAGGACAAGTTTTCTGAGACTTACATTGTAATAAAAGTACTATATTCTTCTACAGTAAAGAATCGCTCTTTCAGTTTCTTAGATTGATTCTATTTGTCGAATCTTAAGGTTCATTGTTCTTGATAACCTTATCTAGATTGCATTCTCTCCAATCTACATTTACATTTTATTTATCCTTGCATTTTGTATCAAGTTACGCCACATATCCTCGGAACTGCGTATAAATTCAACTCTATCTATTTTTCGGGTAAACAGTTTGGCGCCCACCGTGGGGCCGAGGATAACAGTGGTCATTTGATACAAATCTGAAAAAAGCACGCCATTGTGCTTTGCACTTATTTCCGAAAATATCTTGAATTTCGGGTCAGCTACGAATAACCACCGATCGAATAGCTTCACCGATCGATTACGAAGCCGGCCTTCAAGATGAAACCAACAACTTGGCACCCGAGGCTCGAATCGAAGTACCCGAAATTCGAGCCGAAATACCATTGGATGTCAATTCACAAATAGCTTTGGAGGCGAACTAGCGTTCCGAATCGGAAAGAAGCATTCGGGGCGGTACTCGATCCGTAGCCCGAGACATCCAAAACCCAGGGGAAATCGGGGCCAACTTACGTATGATCTTCGAGATGCTGCAAGCCCAACAAGTAGCGATAGCTCAGCTACAGAGCCAAACTCGCGCACAANAGAACAGAGCCTGCCATAGTGAAATCTAACGAGCAAGAATCGGGGACTACTCCCGGAATTACTAAATTGCTCGAGGAACTTACAAAACGAGTCGAAGCCAACGACAAGAGGGTGGGAACGTACAATGCCAGGGTCGACCAAATCCCGGGGGCTCCACCAATGATAAAGGGGCTTGATTC